TGCTGGAATTTGAATTTCAAATTATGTAGGATGGCAAGCTTCTCCGGTAGGCCAGCAGCAGACCCATCCTGACGTCGAAGATGTAGCAGGCCACAGACCAGCACCCACACGAGACTGCCGAGATGTAGATGCGCAACCAATCGAGGAAGCGGTGCATCTACAGCTGCACACAAATGCCGTGTGAGTTAGCGCACTCAGCCTGCTTGATGACGTTGAAGTCGGCAAACGACACCTGCATAGCCATCAGTCTACCAAGCGCTGCAGCGAAAAGGCCATAGACGGGAAATATTCCCCCTCGAAGCACATGAAGCAGAATGACGAGAGTACAGCACTCACGGCCTCAGGCATCATCATAGCCAACTCACCACCAAGTGGAGGACGTTGCTGCAAATGGAGCGGGAGTACTGCGGTTAGACTCAGCGCAGCACAAGAACACTCGCGCCATGATTGACAAGGTGGACGAGAGCTTGACCTGCTGCCACTTTGTCGCTCCTGAACCACAGACACGTACATGCTAAGATGGAAGTGATGACCTCACATTAATAATAGAGGTCGGGGTCGTTGGAACTGAGCTACTTCAATATTACTTTTTGGCAAATTTAAATCCTTATCTGTTCCGTAAGAAATTCTGATGCACAAAGACCCACAGGGATCGGCTCATTAGAAGCAAATTGAAGCTTTCTATCACTATACAAGTACATAATGGTACAAATACTTTAAAGTAAAACTAAATAGAGTCAAAAGGTTTCACGGCGCAACCGTTTACCGAACGATAGGGATTATCTAACTTTTTCAAGCCAATTCATACATTTTAAAAGCCAATAGGTGCCTTCCAGCACTCCGCAAATCACTAGCTGTGGACACAGTTGTGTCAGTAGCGACAAGCCTAGAAATTTTACCATTATTTGCTGTTGACGTTGTTATTGAATAAATAAGATATTTTCTTCTTTGGTGTAACACCTATGCACCTGTGAAAAATTAGTTGCAAGGGAGGAACTTGCTATTGCTTATCAGTAGTACGTGTGAATCGCACGATTCATTCCCATTGATTGCCGGACGGATTAATCACTCCCATTTGGTTGGTTATGTATCATTGTTGCTGCGATGAACGCGTTTTTTAGTAATAGCTTTCGGGTAGCAAACCCTACCAATCACAGCGATATGGAAATATGAAACCCTACCCTAAATCAAACAAATGCTAAACAAAGCATATCTAACGCTCCGATACGTATATGTTCAACGCCTTGGTTTGAAATGGAGGAAGTAGGAGTCCATAGGGTTTAACTAAACCGCAAGTAGATTGACCACTTTACCACTAGAAACGGAGCAAGAAGTCTGAACATTAAAATATGCATTTGATATTATATCTACATGTACAACACGCACTGCAGAAGATCTAGTATGCATCACTACTTCGACGGAACGAATACATGTTTGGACGAAATGGAACTACAGTAGGTATTTACTTGAGATGTTGTGCTAAAACTCATTCAGGAGGGTCACGGATTAATCAAGAATAAGGACAGCATCAGTGAGTTACATATTTTGTATCCTGGATATGCACACAGCACATAGCACATGACGACATAGTCGAGAGGGCTGGTTTACACAACGAGACATACTAAAATAAAACAATCACCCTGACAAAGGACCCAAAGGCAGTATTAGGTATTTCCATCAATATTCAAATAATAATAAGCATAAAATATTAGTCATATTGTTGCAATCTAGAGAAACAAATACTACATAGTAGTTGCAAAGCACACCAAGTAATATTATACCAGCAAACCATACCTAAAGCACCCGCGTAGCGGGTGCCCAGATCGCTAATATTGGGTTCAACCCACAGGGATTATACACAAGGGCCACACACCAAACTCAGAGTTCCAAAAGGTTCTCAGTGTTCTGACCCTCTGTGCATTAGAATCTTCTAGGATTTCGGGACCTGAGCGAGCACTGTACGCCAACGGGCGAACATCTCACCGACTTCGCCACACTACGCGATCTATGCGTCGGTTTTGTATGAGTTACGAGAGATTGACTTCGCTGTGTTGGTGAAGGCCACCACTCAAGTGCAGATCAAACGACTGCTGGGGTGGATCGAGGATCGCAGGAGTATCCAGAAGTCGACCACCAAAAGCCTTTAGATCTTGAGGTGCAAGATCTCACTAAGATAGATCCACGTTGAATCCATGTCCATAGATCCTTCAATGTTGTTAAATCCAAGATCGCCAGGACTCCGATCCTGCGTCATTTTGATCGAGGTCGGCGAGCTACGGTTGTAGCGTATGCTAGTGACTGGGTCATTTCAGGATCACTGAAGCAGGAAAAAGAGGTGTTGGTCTTGCTAAGGATCCTGGATCTTAATTACAACGCATTGGTCGGACGCTCGATCTACGTGTTGACCCGACTCTCTACTATGACATGGCTCTTCAGATCTACGGCCCTTCAAGGGCGTTTAGATCAGGGGCTGCTTTACTATTGCCGTGGACTCTCGAGATTACCAAGTACATCAGGGGAGAAGACGAGATCTTAGGAACATTAGCCGCCAGTATTACGCCTAGATCTGAGATTGATAAGGCACTGATCCCCATTACCCCTAAAAAGAAACCACGACGCAACCCCCAAGCTCCGATCCCCACTATTAGACGGACAAGGATCTCTATGTTCTTAGCTTCGATGGATCCGTTTGTGTCGCCTGACAGTGAACGAAGCAGAATATCATGGGCTACGGCTGTGTCTGGACCTACTGAAAGACTTGGGTCCACGACATCTAGTGATCTGTGAAGACTCGAACATGGTGATCCGACAAGTACGAAGTGAGATCGACTGTAAGGTACCGGGTTTGACACTGCTACGGCAGAGGGCTCTGGATCGACTGCGAACTTGGCCGGATCTTGAATTGGTGCACATCAAACAGGATTCGAATGGGAGTGCCGATAGCTTGTCTAATGCTGCGCTGCAACGGACATGCGGGATTGAGGTCGATTCTGTGAAAGCTCCAGGATCAAGTGACTTTGAACCGATTGGATGAGATCCTGGTAGCGAAGATCGAAGATGAGATTGCACATGTATCTGCTGTAACAACCCGACCTAAGGCTAGATCTGGAGCGCGAACAGGATCTGACCCAGACACACCACGTCGGAAGTAGTGAGAGAACTGCAGGTCGTGCGGATCCAGCAAGCCCAGGACGAAGAGTCGTGTATCTCTGGATTGAAGAAATATTTGGACGGCGAGGCCGGGGATCTGACACAAAAAGAGGCCAATGTATTCGGATCAATCGGGATGAATTACGAAGTGAATCAATCGGATCTACTCTTCTCCTGTCCGTCAACCAAAGAAGCTGCCGCAGATCGAGACAAGTTGATACGGCTGGTGCTGCTGGAGACTCTCTAACAAGGCATTCTACATCACTGTCATACAAGCCTACAAGACGGTCAATAAGGAATTGGTCGGACATATGATCAGATCCGAGATCACTTCCATTGGAGAGAGTTGTATAAAAGCGTGTAACTATATGTAGGAGAATGTATCGAATGTGAATCAGGCAAATGACAACCTCGGATTCAGGGTGAGTCGCCTGGCAACCTTTCAAGCAACATACACGTTCCAGATCATTGCCATGGATCACATACTCTCGCTCCCAAGATCACTCAGTGGGACACAGACCTGCTGAGCTTTGAAGATCTATTCTCGGGATATGTAATTGTCAAGGCTATCCCTTCTAGATCTGCACAGACGATCGCCGAAACTTACGAAGAATGCGTTTTCCGCAAATTTGGAGCGAGCGAGGTGACCCGGCATGAACGAGACTCAGGCTTTATGTCTAATTTCTTTAAGTCCTTTAACAAAAGCTTGGGTCGACGTCAACGTGCTCCTATGGTCTATCGACCTCAGACCAATGGATCTTCAGAACGGATGGTCCAGACAACCACCGGGGCTCTTAAGACGTATGTGCAGGATCTGGATCAACGCGATTGGGACGAATACGCTGAACGGCTCATATTTACGATCAATACTGCAAGAGATCGGATCCGAGGTGAAACCCCTTTCTACATGGTAAATGGCTGGAACCCTATGTCTACCCTAGCAGCGGTGGTCCCGGTAGGGAGTACTCGTCGGCATGATCAGGATCCAAGAAGGTGGCGATATCGTATGCAAAAATATTTCCGACAAGCTCGAGAACAGATTAACCAACGTCTGCGCGAAGCCATCCCGTATTAAGCTGACGCACACAATGATCTAGTACGCACACATTCAGTAGATGCTGGATCGAGTGCGTGAAGGATATGCGAAGAAACAGGCGTATCTATGACACGGGCACTTCCGCGTTGCAGGATCAAGATCCAGTGGATCGAATTTCTGACATGAGGACTGGTACAAGGACGAGATATGGACGAATCTACAGAGAATTCTTGGTAAATTGGCGTGGATACAAAGATCCAACTTGGGTGGATGAAGCGAATCTCAACTGCAGTGCCTTTCCCTACGAGTTTCTGCGATGCCGCACCAATCGTAATAGATTTGGTATGACGCAGAGCCATGAGGAGCCATGAGGTCTGAATCGACATCGATGATCATTAATGTGGTGAGATGGCTGATGGATCTCGGGAAAACCCGTCCACCTGCATGTGTCAGAATATTGTGGAGAAGCGGAATCTTCACAATTCGCGTTGACGCAGGCCTCGATACCACTGGCGCCAAGACACCGACTAACACAGGGATTCTCCGATGATCCGTGATCTGGTTGTTTACGTGTCCCCACCTTGTGTACCCTATGGCGGGCGGATTACGCTCTCCTTAGTGACTTGTGAGACGTCTTTCGGTGTTATAGGAACGCTGGGGCTTGGGCTAGCGTGGAACTCCTTCACTCTACCTCGGGTCTGATGGTCTTGATCGCAGGTGTGTCCTTGAGCCGCGATCTAGCTGCCTGGTTGTCGATCCAGGTCTTTCGGGGTCCAATATGGGAGATCTATCTCGTTCCTTTGCGAATGCTTGCCGCTTCCTATAGCGGGGAACTTATTAGGTTGAGATCCGACAAGATCTTCAGGCCAAGCAACCATTGCCTTCCGATCAGTAGTACACGCTTGAGGACAAGTCATTAGGTAGGGTAAGGCTGGCCAATATATTATCCAGGCTTAACCGCTACGCTAGATCCTGAGCTCTTACCGTCTGTGCGCTTGTAGAATAGTGGTGGTTCCTCGCTAAATAGTGACCGGTTGCAACCTTTGAAGTGACCTGTTGTTTCAACGTTTACCAGATAGATTTGAGCCTCTCCCTTCGCTCACAGGAATTAATCTCGGCTGATACATGTACCTTAAGTTAAGGTCTATATTGTTGCTATTTCTAAGAAGTTTGTGCATGTGATATTGATAGGGAGCTTCATTTCGTGTAGTGTGACACCTGCTGCATTCTTTGAAGTATAAGTTAGGGTCGCTAGGTTCTAGGTAACGCGTCATTCAATAATACACACTACTATAAAGTGATGTAATATGAAAGATATACGTCAACAGTTAGAAATTGGTCAAAGCGAACATAGCAATGTGCATGTCTTTTGAACGGATTTGGTGTTTATCTAGCTCAATGGTATGTTATTCAAAAGTAACGTTATACCTATTCATTTTGCCTCCTTTTTAGCGTTTTGCTGGTGCATCAATAGAAATCTTATCATTGCATAACCAGTGCAAATACTAATGATGGTCAATGCCAGTCACG